GTACGCGTTGGAATTGTGGCCACAGTTAGACGATGACAACGTAGGCCAGCGCGCGTGGTCCTCTGAAGGAAAGGAGAAGGTGGGATAAGAGAGAATAACTCCTCAGAACACTCGCCGTGGTACAGACGATAGAACGCGCTTAGTGACGCCACGTCACGGCGTAATTGAAGAGGCTCAAGGTGTTTAGTCACCTCCTCATCGCCTATGATGCGGATCGCGCGTCGCTGTAACCTATCCAAAGCATCGAGCAAGTACTTGGCGGAGCCATCCCAGAGGTGCGAGCAATATTCCACGCAGGACCGCACTTGCGTTTTGTACAACAAGCACAGTTGATCGGGCGTGAAAAAACGCCGCACCTTGTTCAGGACTCCGAGTTTGCGTGAAGCTGTTTTGATCACGGTTTCGATGTAGTTCTTTGGATTCAGGTCTGAGCGAACTTCCATACCGAGCATGGAAATGTTGCTCTGCAGCGGTAGTGTTGTGCCCTGAAGAGATGGAAGAGGAAGGAATGACGATGTTTTTGCCGTGAAAGCGCAAGCCTGAGTTTTTTTGGCATTGAACTCAACCAAGTTCCTGGTACCCCATTCGGAAATGTGGTCCAAAGCCTGATTGAGTTCAATGACAAGATTCTCGCGTTTCTCCTTGGTTACCGCCAGCCCAGCCGCTGCTTGTCCGAGATACCCCGCATGCACTGTACTATCGTCTGCATAGCAATGAATATTCCCAAGAGGAATTAAGTCATTGATATGCAGCAGAAAGAGAGTGGGGGATAGGACGGAGCCCTGGGGAACGCCGGCATTCACTGACATGAACCGCGAACTGCTACCATCCGTAAGGACACGAATTCTACGCTCATGCAGGAAGTCAGCTACCCAAGAACAGAACTGGGCTGGCAGACCGTATGCCGGAAGCTTGGAGAGAAGGCTTTTGTGCCAGACCCTGTCAAACGCCTTGGCAATGTCAAGGCTGATAGCCAACGACTCGCCACGCTTGTCGATAGCCTCACCCCAGATATGAGTTAAGTACGCTAGAAGATCACCCGTCGATCGTTTCGGTCTAAAACCATATTGACGATCATTAATCAAGGAGTGATCCTCTAGGTAGCGGGTCAGATGGTTATTAAGGACCTTTTCTAAAACTTTACATAAAACTGAGGTGACTGCTATTGGCCGGTAGTTTGCCGGGTCTGAGCGATCCCCTTTTTTGGGCACCGGTTGCACATTGGCATCTCTCCAAGTCTCCGGCACACGCCCCAAAGAATACGAGCATTGGTACAAGCGCGTGAGCACGGGAGACAACTCCGCTGCACATTTTTTGAGTACTACTGCTGGGATGCCATCAGGTCCACTAGCTTTCCGGACGTCGAGTGATTGCAATTCGGCACGAACCTCGCGCTGCCTGATTTTAATATCAGGCATCGTTGTGCCACAGTGAGGTAATGATGGTGGCAGTGCATTGCAATCATCGATTCGGGAGTTAGCCGCAAAGAGTTTTGCCAGTAAATCGGCTTTCTCCTGCGGCTTATGGGCTAGTGTTCCGTCTGGGCATCTCAGAGGTGGCAGCGAGGGCTCGCAGAAGTTTTTTTGCACGGCCTTGGCCAGACGCCAATAGCTACGGGAACCCGTAGGATGCGTCATAAGTTCCTGGCCAACACGTGCAACGCGCTGGGCATCCACTCTAATGTAAGCCTTCTTACAGGCCTTGGAAGCAAAATTGTAGGCTGCTTTGAGTGAATCGACCTCGGGATCCTTGAGAGCGCGACCTCTGATCCAAGCACGATATGCCGCTTGCTTACGCGAAGCAGCTTCAGCACAGTCGTGATTGAACCAGAGGTTACGCGTGCCCTTACTGATGAGATCAGAATGAGGAATATAGTATTCCATACCCATTATAATCTCCTCAGTAATGGCAACGGCACTGGCCGATAGGTCCCTGTCACTGAAGCAGCGCTGCTTCCAAGGGACGGACGCAAAGTAGTCACGCATACCGTCCCAATCTGCCGACCCATAATGCCAGATACGGCGCTTGACCACTGCTGGACGCGGAGGCTTGGCCTGTGGTGCTTTGGCAGATATCAGGCAGTGGTCTGACGAGCCCAGGGGGGCTCTTACCACAACCTGATAGCCCTGTGGATGGGTCGTGAGCAGAAGGTCCAGTAAAGAAGGCGCTTGACTTGGAATATCTGGGATCCTGGTGGGCTGATCAACCAGTTGCTTCAAGTCATGCGTGAGAGCGAATGCGTGAGCAGAGATCCCTGCATGGTCAGTTTTGGAGGAACTTAACCACAAATTGTGGTGAGCATTAAAGTCCCCCAAAAACACCAATTCTGCATTGGGAAATTGTTCCTGCGCGTCATCTGCTGCCCGACTAAGGTGTTCAAAAAGTCGAGTTGTCTCAACATCGCCGGTGTGGGATCTGTAGAGACACACGTAAACTCTGGCCAGGGGGCCAGAGTCGACGTGTACCCCCAGCATGGAGAAGGAGGGATCTTCCAAGCAGCGGAGACGGCGACAACAAACATCCGCCCGAACATACAGGCATACACCGGCTTAAGGTAGCCTGTGTCAGCAGGCGGAAGTATTTGTGTCTCCGTCAGGAACAACAATGCTGGCCGTGCTGTCTCAAGATGGTGGTGGACAGCGTTGAGGTTAGAGTGGAGTCCGCGTATGTTGCAGAACTCGACCTCAAACAGCGTTGAAGGCGTGGGGGTGTGCACCGCTGAACGTCCAAACTTTGTTTTAGGAGCTGCCATTATGGAAGTGAAAAAGAGACGTGAAACGAGTGGACGTTGTCGCGACAAGACCGGGCAAATTAGGGAGGCATGTTTCCCCGAATGATTGCCTGCAGAGGATATACGCCGACCCGCCGGACGGAAGGGCCCCCGCACCCCCCCGGAAGTGGCCGCCGGGACCCCACGCCCCGGTCACCAACCGGCACGACGGTCCACCCCGAGATTATGCGTGACATGATGGGGCAGCCTCGCGAACTGGTTAGGAACGCTCGGGCCCCTGTACTGTGCCACGGGCGGCCAGCGGGACAGCCGTTTCTACGGGTCTCCCTGGCCGGCGGGTCGATGCAGTCCTCCCGGCATCGGTTCCACGGATGCCTAGCCCTGGACCGAATCCGTCGCGACAACCTCCACTCGAGCCCTGGTTGTACGCTGGCTGACCCCGAAACGCGCGAGAAGCACTTCACGGGTTTTTCACCATGCGCACGGTGGTAACAAACCAGGCGGGTGTTAGGCACCCTACCACCAGCAGAGCGGATGGAAGCTCCGATATCCCTTAGTCGCCTCTTACGACACCCACGGGAAGAGAAGGGGCGGTGAGTTGTATTCTTTCTCCGTCACCGCACAGATAACCAGATAACCACAGATAATTACTGCTAGATGTTGAAATCTAAAGAAAAGTTTTACTAGAAAAAAAATCCACGCGGACCAGGCAGCGGACGGGACTCGAACCAGCACCCTTCGCAATCCGGGCGAATGCACTGACCTATCATGCTACCACGGCCCTGATGGCCGCGTCGAAATTTTCCTAGCCTTAAGCTGCAAGGCAGCGCCATCTCTTCGCATTGTAGGTAACCCACAATGTCAAATGAATAATTTTTCAAGTATTAAACTTTTTAAAGAAGAAATAGCAATTATAGTTATAAAGACTCTTTCCAAAATATATTGTGGTGACGACGAGAACCCTACACTGGCACAACACGCTCTTAGCCGGTTTTTTTTTCACTTTCGTTTATCTCGAAGATAAAATGTAAAAGAAGAAATTGAGTGACTGACTGACTGATAATCAACGCACATCCAGGTCCACAACTTAGGTCTAGAGACTTAAAATTTGGCACGTGGGTTTCTTATAAGGTCAAGGGGTGTAATAACAAATGATTTTCTAACCCAGAGGTTCCCCAAAGGGTTTTAAATAGGGGATGAAAGTTTGTATGAAAAATCTTATTCCTTGAGTTAATACATTTGGAACTTTTCAGGAAAACGTATTTAAATTAATTATGAAGTTTGTCATTATGTGGCGAAGTTTTTATATCCATCAATTTTAACGCGTATTTCCATTAATAAATAAATAATAATAAATAAATATTTCCAACACTCACACCAATTAGCCTAGTCCCAAAGTAAGCACTGTAAGGCTTGTGTTATGGGATGCTAGGATAACTGATAGAATACATGTATTGTACATATTTATATATAAATACATATTAAACATCCATGACTGGAGTACAAATGCTCGTATTCATCACACAAACATCTGCCCCCACCGGGATTCGAACCCAGGACCTCTCGAGTCGGCGTCACCATGAAACCCGGCGTATAAACCATTCGGCCACAGAGGTCGTCTTTAACACGGAACTTGGTATTTTTTACCAAAAACAGAAATAAATAATAACGTGTAACAGGGGTTTTTTTAAATCTCCCCCTAAAAGGGTAAGAAAAGGGTTGAAAGTTTGTATGATTTTTTTGATTCTTTGAGTTAATCTTTGAGTTAAAATTTGTTGAGTTACTTATCTAAATAAATAATAAAGTTTGCTGTTTTACATAGATTGATGAAAACGTAGAATGGATAAAAAAACAAACTACACAAATCACTAATTCGATGCGGACAAAGTCGCAGGCCGGCTCTTGTATTTTTATAAAAGGACATCTACTTTTTACTCTGATAACTAAAACTTCGCATTGCGCATGTAACCAACGAAGCCAAAACTTTACTTGTTGTTTACTCGAGCACCAAATAGATGGCGTTGTACAATCGTGTAGTGTAAAACACAGATGAAAGTTAAAATAAAATCACCTATATTATCATTATATATAAAAATTAGAAATTATAATTTCTTTGCGTCTTCTTTTATTTTCATCAAAAAACAGACCAAGGGATGGTAAATACGCTTGAAATTAAACACAGCACCGATAGTGGCGCCGATTACTATAAAAAGCGAAAGGGATTCCGATATAGACTAACTACGGTTGCTATAGCAACGGGATGTTTGACGTTGTGAACTTCCACGCGACCACGACGGACGTTTCGAGGGTTTTTCTTTATCAAAACTAAATATTTTCAATTCTACACCGTTTAAATAATGTCTTATAGATACTACAGTAAATCGGCTTCCGATCGCGATCGCATCAACAGGTCAGCAACAACGAAAAATACGAAAATTGTAAAGAGAGTGACTCCAAAGAAAGTGGTGCCTTCGAAGAATCTCGGCCACTGTCCGACAGGAAAGAGCTGCTCTGATGGAATAATATTAGAAGACTGGCACCATCGACCAAGGAAAGTCACGCAATCTGATGTAAGCTTCTACGATAAAGGTACTAAAAAGATTGTTGACTATTGCGGAAAATGTGGCGACCAGGTTCTCAGCAATGTGCAAAGCTCCAATTCAGATAAATCGCAAAGTATTAAGTCCAAAAACGTGAGAAAGTTTTCAACTAATGCTAATGAGGTAAAAAGAACCGAAGGCCCTGCAGGAGGCTCAAAATTCAAACTCAATGGCAATAACAGTAGAAGCAATAGCGTGAAACAGTACTATAAAAATGAGAATTTTAAATCCACAATTTCTTTACAAGATACGGAAGCTGAATTAAAGAAAATGTCCTTAGATACTATAAAAGAAGTCCCAGAAGTACACGCAGCCAGTGGAAGTGGTGTCAATATCTATAATGTTCTATCTGATAGTGAAGCTGAAGAAATCGGTTTTTTAAACACAAATGACAATGAGAATATTGAAGAATTAAAAAAGTTCAGAGAAGATAATTACTTTGAATGCCACTCTGTTAAGTCGAGGATTGATAATAAAGGAAGTGTCACAAGTCTTGGTGATCATAAATGCGTGTATCGATTTTATTTGAACGATCGCTTGTTTCCTGTTCCTATTAGTACAGATCATCACGACAATATTAGATGTGTTGAATGTCATTTGCCTATAAATTTAAAGATGGATGATAGAGAATCTAATAAAGCAAATGGCACTATACAGGCTAAAGTAAAGCTTAACGATGATGATGCTCAAGATATGGTTCTATTTATGCCCGTCAAAGATTCTTTATTTATAAAAGAAAGAAGGAAACAAATGAAAACAGAACAAGAGGTTATGTACTTTGGCGTGATAAAATTAAGTGCTTATGGGAATTCGGTATTCAATTCCACGCTGCCGAGTGATTCTTTGGCCTTGAAATATCAGCGAGGTTATCAGGAGTATGGGAATAGTCAAGATTATAAATACACTGGTGTGGAAAAGGATAATATTGTTGTTATTTAGTATTGATGTATTAATTTTAGTTTTATAATGAATATCTATGATAACTATAGTTATATTGAGTTTATTATTTCTTGATGGATATTTTAGTATATAAATAATGTAGACACAAGTAATTGAAATATATTTTTATACTTTATTTAAATTTCTGTATTATTTGTCTATTCTTTGTCTAGGTTGTGGCGACAATTATCCCGGCTTGAGTACCTTTCCATAACATAAACTATAGTAAGTTTAAGACTAAGGTTAATAATTCACGTTTAAATAACAAAAACATTAAAATTTCCTTTACCTACGTAACTACTTAAATAATATATAATGTACAAAATTGAAAAAGTTACCCCCAGCGCCGCCGTCAGGAATGGTGCTCAATAGGCTGGCAACATTGCCACGTTAGATGGCAATGCTCACCAAGATAGCTGCCAGCATTTTGATCACCAGTCGCCTCAGTGAGCCGCTTTGGCAGTTCCTTAAAAAGAGTAGAGAGTGTAAGCGTAGTTGTAAGTGTAGAGTTAGGGCGTGTAGAGTTCAGTCCTCTCTTTTTGCTCTGTCCTACATTAAGGGCCGCGGAAAGGCGGCCCTCTGTGCAGCCCTCTGTGCAGAGCCTGCCTGGAGGCGGATGAGACGAGCGCCCATGTTCTACTGGAGTGCAGGGGCGTTGCAAGACAAAGGACTTCTCTAATATGAAGCCCGAAGACAATAGTAGAGGCCTGCAGCAACATTCAGGGACTGCTGAGCTTTCTGGAGGAGCTGGGATGGCAGGACTGATGCCAATCCCCACGCAAAATAGGCACTGGGTGTCGAGTTGTGGAAACAGCCCGCCATACTACTAAGACTAAGACTAAGGCTTGCGAGGGGAACAGCAGTCCTTCCGCAGCGGACGGGGAGCGGTGCGGTGGGCAATAAGCCGCTCCTAAGCTCCCAGCGCGGGCAGTCCTGCACACGTCTGCGGGTCATCCGAAATACCCCGGGTGATACCTGCCGTGGCGCCTCGGCTAGGCCGGGAGGTTGTTGGATTCGGAGACACGGTGAAGTCCCTCAACGTGGATCTCGCGGTCACTTAACAGCGTAGAGGATTTTCGGAGGGTTTTTAGGCTGTAGGTGCTCGTGACCACGCGGGCTGCTTAACGACTTCTCCTTTTTGCACCCGTGAGACTTGCGAGAGGCTAGGTGTAAGGTCCGTTCGTCGGTGTGCCCCTTAAGGGCGCCTACGTCTGTAAATAGAGGTTTTGCCTGCGTAAAAAACGGCGTGTAGAGTTAGAAGCTTGATTCTACATGAGATCTGTGGATTTGCTAACTTTTTGACAGTGCAACGTTTAACATTATATTTTTAGCGGGATCATTTATTCTACGTATTATTATTAATGACATTATTAGTTTTTCACAGATTCTGCAATACACCGAGCCACGTATACAAACAGAAATATTTTCTCGTTTATGTTTATCAACTGAAGTATCGAATTATTTATTCAATATGCTTGTTCCATCATCAAACAATACTTCAAATATTGCTCATGAAGTAGTATGCAATGGTGTGCATTTTGCTATGTTCTTTGCCAATAATAAAACAAATTGAAACACGCAGACACACCAGATCCTACTTGCCTCCGAAATGATTGCACATCGATGCAAGCGCATAAATAAGAAGAGAGGTGTGCGCGCGCGCCAGTCTTTACGAATACATTCACTCGTGCTGTGCTTATATCTTTGGATGACAGTAAAAATATAGTGAGATGAGGAACTCTGTGGCTCTTATTGTGGTGACACTGTGCGGTTTGGGGGCAGAGGAGGCGTCTCTACGTAAGTAATTATGGAAAAATTATATTGTTTCATTTTTTAAATCTTCAAATTTTTGTATGATATTTCATAAAACAGTATACAATAGTTAGGTGTATAAACAAATATGAAGTAACTGGATAAGTATAATTTATCAGTTCCAAATGAAATGCGTAAAAATATTATTTAGAGGAAAAATATATTTTAGATGTTTCATACAAACCATGTTGTTATTTCAAACTCTTGATCCTCGTGGCGATAATATCAGTTTTAGAGTATGTTTGTTTGTTTTCTAGTTATACTTTCTTGTACTTCCTTTTTTTTCCTTGCTAATACTGATGTCATACTTTCTCCTATTCTTATTAAATCAAAAATCATATTGAAAAATATTTATTTATCACAATATTCTCATCATAAAATTATGACTTAGAAATCTCCTTTTTAGCATTTTTATGCTTGTACCACGAGATTTTGCTCTTCCTTTTCATACAGTTTAACTAAAATGACACTATTTAACTTTTACAAAATAAAATTAAGTATTAAAGTAGGTAAAGAAAACAAAAATTGTAAGGTTTAAAAAAAAACAAATATGTAATAAAATATGAGAGTAATTTTGTTTGTATCTGTAAAATTATTCTACTAAATTTTATATTTTTAGGATATCTTCAATTTGCCGCATATTTTTTATCTTTTAGCCATCCACTGACTATTGTTCTACAAGGAACCCCATTAAACATTCACATTCTTTTTTAAATGTCGATGTCCTTGTAAACGCTGACTGAAAAGTCTCATCAGTTTGGTCGACTAGACTAACAACCGAACTACCGATACAAGACACCAGAAAATGCGATAGGTTATTCTTTGGTTTTCACGTATACCACTCGTTAAATAAAACAAGTTTCAACGGTATAGATGAACTGTACCCCTAGCACGAACCAAAGTCGAATTCGTATCGTTTGCGAGTCCGAGATGTCATTGTCAAATGTGTACTGATTTTTAGTACTGTACCCCTAGCACGAACCAAGTGCTAGGGGTACAATACCCCTAGCACGAACCAAAGTCGAATTCGTATCGTTTGCGAGTCCGAAATGTCATTGTCAAATGTGTACTGCCGGCTGCATCTGCAGTCGTTAGCACCCGCCAATCTTCACTGAGCCCGCGTGATGGGTCATGTCCCAATCTCCCTATTCTATCGATAGGAAAGGCCACAGCAGTGGGGACATTAATAAGCTGATGAGAAACTATTCATTAAAATAACTGTATCACTAATCTTTGAATAATAATGAAGACCTGTTAATAAAATTCTAAATTTTAATAGCATCCCATTAACATTATACACGCGGAAGACGTACGGATGTAAGTTTTTATTTTCTTTTTCGTTACTTAATAGCTCCAATGCGCACGAGCTGATTTAGATCATTTTTTTGTTTGGCTCCTCCGCGAATTGCATCACAAATATCATAATAGAGGAACGCACATGTAACACATAATACATTATGTTGTTACACTCTGTATAGTACCAAAGAGTAGTATAATATACCGGAAAGTATAGTACACTCTGTATTTTTTTTTTGTTAAATTCTCCCTTTTCAGGGAAGGCAAGGGGAACAATGCCAATACGGCCTAGTCTTAAGTTAAATTATTCTATTTTTCTTTTTACATTAGAATGTCGGCGTGACGCATTCTAATGTTTCTTGAAGTGTTTGGCACGAAATGTATCGAGCTGGCTTTTTCGATAAGCTTCTGTGAGGTAGTCAATACTACAATAAAATTTTCACGTCCACTTGACCGGAATAGCGTATATTTTGACGATTCTATTAATTCTTCAGTTACGCAGACAGTTGTAACACAAAATCACACCAATTTTATTTCACAATATCCACTATGAACGAATTTAAGAATAAGTAATTAAAATAAGACGCCAACCACACTCGATGAAATCCCGCCAAAAACTAAACACTACACTCTGTATAGTAGACTAGTGTTGCCAGGTGTCCCGATTTGCGCGGGTCGCCCCGATTGTCAGGGGTCTGGGGACGCGTCCCGATTTGTACCTGATAAGGACGCTAAATGTCCCGATTCATAAAAAAAATCAGTTTATTAATATAATACTATACTTGCTCTAGTAATTTAAAACGCAATAAAAAATTGTTGATTACATATATTTTTTTTTTTAAATCTTAGAAAGCTTTTTGAAGGCTTTTTCATTGACAGTTTACTAGCATTTGTTGCTTCTATTCCATAACGCATGTGGTCTTCACCTATAATTGTAATAACATCAACCTTAGGTATTTTATCATTACCTGCTAAATTGTTGTGTCAATGTTTATTATGTTGGTTATTAAACCCAGACTTATAAACCCCTTGTTTTTTGTTTACTGTCCCGATCTGCAACCGTAAATCCCGATTTTTTTGATCTCATGTACCGATTTAAAACAAATCGGACCTGGCAACACTAATTTTGACTCATGCTTTTTAACGCAAAACAATAAGCAAAATAAATGCTACTAGTTGTAGGTAATTTTATTCCCTTGTTCAAAGTATCTAAAAAAAATTAAAATGTGCGTTATGTTTCAATACATTATTAAACTAATCACTTTAAATGAAACATTAATATAGATACTATATCATCATCATCATCGACCCATACTCGTCCACTGCTGACTCGAACACATCCACGAATATTCACTGGAATACAAATGGAATAATTATTAGCTTAAAATTAATACATTAAAAAAAATACTTAATTAAGTTTCAAATAATGTCCAATACAGTCTAAAATCACGCAGTTTTCCTTTTTTAAATTCAATGAATTCTCAAGTTTTTGAAAATCCCCAAACAAACTAAAAGCGTCTCAAGTTATGTTCAAAATTATATTCTTAAACTCGACTCAAAAATCAAGATAACCGACTCATTTTAAGAAAAATAGGGCATAAGTACCTAATGGATTTTTCTCCCGATTAGAGCGCCTGTCTGAGGAAGTTACCTCCACCCTACATTAAGCCAGTAGGGTTCCAGGGCCTCCCCGGGGTAGGCAGGCAACGGTGCGAGTGATAGTATAGTGTAGGCTAGGCTTGTTGAAAATATATCGATGTATCGATATATCGATATTTTTTGCCGATATATTTTGATTCGATATATCGATACATCGATAAAAAATAACCAATATCGAAATTCGTATCAAAAACGATATTTTTTTTAATTATTAGCGGCATATCACGATCTAACTAAATTCGTCTCTGGAAAAATCGTAACTGGATCTCAGATGAATGATATTCAACATATCTATGTCTGTCTGTGCTGTATTTAGTATTGTCTATGTCATCATTCGAAAATAGGGTCTATTTTTAGGGAGATAATTTTCGTTCCATTATTATTCCGCGTGTCATATTTCGTGACCTGCTGTACGATATTTTTGGGAAAATTGGTTCGATATATCGATATACCGATGTTTTTTTCGCGATATATCGAAGCCGATATTGATATTTTTTAAAAGATCGATGTATCGATATATCGATATTTTTTTTTCAACTTTCGACATCCCTAGTATAGGCTTTGGTGACCGCATCAGGAGAGCAATACGCTTATTTGCCACCCTTTAAACATAAAAAAAACCGGCCAAGTGCGAGGCGGACTCGCGCACCGAGAGTCAAAACACCGTACAAATTCAAATTAATACCACTACGCGTTCATGAGAAAAGAGGTAGTAACTTTAAAATTTTCAAAAATATTTTTTATTATATTATGTAACTAAACATTTACAGTTACCGCAATTATTCCTTTGTCTGTACTATAAGACGTTACTTCGTACCAAATTTGAAGTTTCTCAGTTCACGGGAAATAGGTAACCCTGTAGGTTTTGATTCCCGTGCGAGTTTCGAAAAATTTGCGGAAATTTGCGGCACAAACGGCTGTATCTTTTGAATGCTTTGGCTTAGAAGTTTGATTTTTTCTCAACTCCAAGGGACAGTAGACATGAGTATTAGATATGAATTTCAGTTTTATACCTCCACGCGTTCCCGAGAAAAACGGTCTTGACAGACGGACGGGCGGACGAACGGACGGGCGGACGAACGGACGGACAACAAAGTGATCCTATAAGGGTTCCGTTTTTTCCTTTTGAGGTACGGAGCCCTAAAAACACAGCAGACAAAAGGTAACATAAACTAAAAAGACTTGCTACTTATACTAAATCATAACTATCAAGTGCCTACTCAAGTCATCAACTTAACAACATATCTGTATTTTTAAACTTTACTCCTGTGTTTTTGGTCGCTGGATTTCCAACACTTTATAGAAATTGAAAACTTGGCAATGTGAGAGAGAACACGAGGCGCTGACTGTCCGCTGTGATATTCTTCTTCTTGCTACGTGCGTTTCAGCAACTCAACGTCCCTGAAGCACCTGTTTTGCTTGAAGAGGGTATGTTGCCAGAGTCACTCCAGCCAACCCAGCTCCATCAGGAACTCTCCCAGGGCATTGACATTGGTGATTGCCTCTTGGAGGTTTCCCGGTGAGCCGAGGTATTTGGTCCAGTATTCGGCCACTCAGTTTCAATCTAGCAGAACGTGAGTAGCTGTTTCTTCTGTGTCCTATGCATCCTCTGCATAAGGGGCTATCCGTGACATCTACATCTGCTGTGATATGCTGGCTCGCAGATGTGCGCATTGCATAAGGTCAAGATGACGCTTCAAAGCATTCTACAAATCCTTTTATATGAGAAGTCTGTTGGTTCGGCATACGTGTCAGGCATAATACTTTGTAGACCTAATACAGTTTCAGTGTTCAAATTCAAAATCAAATTCAAAATTCAAATTCAAACTCATTTATTCAGTCTAGGCTGTTACAAGCTCTTGTGAAAGTCAAACGCTACGATCGGTTCGTAAATCTACGACGGGAGACCTTGTACTGAGAAGAACCGGCAAGAAACTCAGCAAGGGCTATTTTTCTACATATATACGAAGTGAAGTTAGTTACAAGACGTGACGTACCCTTTTACCAGTGCGTACTACCCGTAATGATGT